CTGTAGGTTATTTTTACTTACTCCACTGCCTTACGGTTGGCTGATTATGCAAAATACTTTCAAAGGGATGGTACTTCCGGATGCCGGAAGAAACTAGAAAATTTGTTGTCTTGAATGGAATCTGCTTTTTCTTTAATTACATTTTCGGATTCGACGCAACGTGACATTTTCAGTCTTTATGTTCATATACTCGTATATATATGCCAATATCTAGCATTCATAGTTTTACGTTTCGTTTTTATCATGATCAGCAGCTTGCATGAGTAGACTATTCCAACTGCTTCGGTTTCATTGACGTAGGGAGATTAACATTGAGCGTCGTTCTCGAAGGTATATTATTGAATAAGAGATTCCTGATAGTACCTATAAACAGTTGTTCGGTGTTCATCCGTGTTTTGTTTATGACCGGGAAAAAATACATTTCTCTTTTCTATATTTGTAGTAGGTATTGTTTCTGTGATCCATTTTCCTCTGGGTAAACGGCAAAAAATTCACCCTTTATGCATACAAATTGCATCTCGAACAAGGTTGGAACGGATTGTATAAGTTGATTATACGACAATTATTTGAGCAAAACAATTAAGCACCTAATCTTGATAATGTGCATTTAGGCAGGTAGATAGGTACCTATTATCCACCTATACCTACTTAGGGGTCACAATTCTTAATAGAAAACGTGTTTTCTTTAACCACTTGTATGTGAGCGGGCATATAAAGATATATAAAAATCATAATACTGCAATAGTGGTTTGTTTAGAAGGCTGTCCTCGATTGCAGGTTTCGGTATGTAAAATGCGGAATGTCTGCTTACAGTTACCCAATCGATTTCGCGCGATACAGTCCACACGATTACGCTTAGATGGCGCTCTGCACGGTGAATATTTGTGATTAGTTTTGAAGGATTTATTTACTTATACAAGAATTGGATTAGTGCACAATCATCTGGTGTTAATTTTTAATTACAAATTTACTGAGAATGTCCCACCAGTAATAATAGAACACCAATAAAATGAGGCATTACTGCATTTACGAAGCTGATATATCCACTTACCTACGGCGTATATTCATTATGCTTGAGAATACTAACTATTGATTAGATAAACTCAAATTTAAAATAAGTTTTCTCCTTGATTAAACTTATCTCGAAGTTAATAACGTAGACAAGTCAGTAGACGAACTTTAAATTTATCTGGAGCCATTCAGATGCAAAGTAGGTTCGTTTCTCTTAATTAAATTGGTTGAAGTTCTGGCATCATTCCTCCGTTATATTCTTAACAACCATTTTGAAGCTCCACATTCGACCCCGGTTTAATTTAAATGTAAAATTATCCTGGAAATCTATAATACAGAAATTGATTCCATTTCTTCGCGTGATGGTATTATTTTATCTATTTAAATAGATCCTTTCGTAAGGCCATTGTGCATCTTTCACAAATAAAGTAAGCGTACGCTACAGAATAAAGAACATGAGGGAAATTCTTTAACAAAATGAACTTTGTGTATTGCTTTTGTTTTACGTTTCAAAATTTATAGATGTTGTTGCTAACAAAGACAAAGTTTAGCTGTACTAATAAAGCTTGTTATCACATATCTGACATGAAAATGAGATGGTTATCACTTTTATTTTGTCTTCTATTACAAATTATATATACCCTTAAGAGAAAACAAAGAAATTGGATGGTTTATGTGTTATTGTTAATTGTCACGCAGTAAATTACCTATAAGAGAATTGAATTCGATTAATGAATATTAATTGGCCATATGTACCTAATAATGAACAGTAGTTAATATCCCCAAGTGCATAAAAATATACGTCGAGTCAATTTACCACCTAACATTTGGGTTGCAAATTGCAGCCGAGTAAGCATTGCTTCATAAGGTAGTAGGACAAAATTTAATTATGCCATTTTTAAGTATGCGGAATATTTGGTATGATTATTTTTGAATAAAAAAATGTTAAATTATACGCAGTAAATTTTGATACATTTTTAACCGCGGTTTTGATGACTGGTACAGTGTGTCCCATATTTCGATGCTCACCTTGGTGTCCGTTATTAGAAAAGCTGGTGTAGAACAAAAACGACAAAGTGAGACATTTTACAAAGAAAGTTTACAGGCAGAAGTAAGTACAGGTAGGTGCCAATTTGTTAAATTAAAAATCGCAATGATGTGACGTGCACTTCCCATTTAAAAATCACCTAAACCTTTGGCTATAGGTAAGTATGTCTTAAAAAATCATAAGTAATTAGCAAAAAAGTTGCACTAGAGGTGATCATTATCAAGTATAGCAGAATGCAAGGTGAGTATTACCCATACCATAGGTACCTATGTAATTTGAAGGGTTTTGATAAAATCTACGCAAATGATTATTTTGCATTTATTTGTAGTAGGTACATCGTAGGATTACAGATTGCGGATTCTTCTAATATAAATGATATAGATACGTAAATACGTTCTATGTTGCTTCATTATTAACGAGCCACGAGCTGGTTCATGATTTTAGACTTTCTGTCCATCCGTCTGTGTACATGATAACTCGCGAACGGTTTCGAATTTTCTAATTTTGTTTTTACTATTATGTTTATCATCGCACCCACGGAAGAACTGATTAAATTTTCAGTACCCAGGAACTACACTCGCCGTCTGTCTGTAACAATATAGCGAACAAGCTCCTGGGACAACCTGAAAGCTAATTTAGTTCTTGCTTGGGAAGATATAAACCATAATACGTGCACACAGAATTGGAAAGATTCGAAACCGTTCTCGAGTTATTATGCAACACAGAAAGAAAGAACTGATTAAATTTTCAGTGACCCAGGAACTCCACTTCGCCCGTCTGTCGTTTGCTATACCTATGTGTTACAAGTTTATTAAAAATAAGCAAGAGCATGTACAAATGAATAAGTATTAAAAAAAAGCATAATAGGTGCATATGGTGGGGAATGCACTACAACATTGGCATGCGAAGAAGTTTAAGTATATCTACTGAATAATGAGTATGTATATAGGGTGCTCGGTTTAAGAGCCTCACTTTGGGATCTCGCTGATCATACGAGATACGATGCTGATGGTTAAATCAGACATGTTTGAAATTTGAATGTAGCTAGTAGGTAGTGTCAGTGGCGGAGTAGCTACCCCCGGTTCCCGGTGCGGCTCACCAAAATTGCGCCCTCATACCCCTCCCCCCCCCCCTTTCTCTCATTTGCCGCCTAATTAACGGCTTGGTAGGTACCTACCTACAATGAAAACAGATATGTACAGGGTCAATTTTGACGTACGACTTGCGCGAATGCGCAATAAAAAGTTTTTACTTTGTAACTAAGTTATTTGTGGGAAGAATCAAAAAAGTATAACGAATATAAATTATATAGAAATAGTCTGTTAGTAAGGGGGTACTGTTATATTTTCTAAAGTCTGCCTAGTTTCTAAAATACACTATACCAAAGTTTGATTTTTCAAATACCTGCAATGTATAATATTTTTGCACCAATAAATTTTAATTCTCAAAATATCCCCCCAAAAACATCGAAAACAATCAATTTGGAACATCTTGTGTTGGCGCCCCAATCCCCCCTCCCCCTTACGTCGCCACTGGGTAGTGTTGTTCATTCATTGTGCATTTTGGATTTTATACTATTACTGATAATTTGTTAGATTAGGGCAGATTCTATAATGCAGGTAGGTATATACCGAGAATAAGCTATAGGTACCTATAATAAACGTCGACAATTGCGTTGGTTACCATTGCGTCAACCAAGGGGATACTAGTGCTATGGCAGTTATTCCAAAAATATCTTATTCTGCGTAAAAAGTGTAATTGTCGTGGTATTGTAGAACCGGCCCTAAAGTTGAAGATATAAATGATTCACAGCTTTTGTTGCTCTTCTTAAGAATTGGATAAGTATACCTAGCTAATAGGTATTTTAACGAACTGAAAAACCATACTACGTGCAGTATATTATATTATCAGAGAAAACCTGTATAAAATCACAAAATACAGTGTGATATCCTGCCATCATACTCAAAGCTACACTATTATATTCAAATTTTCCTTAATTTGGTAGATCCACTTCCATTTCAACTAATTTACGTGTATTAGAAAAGATTTTTTGATTCATTACCTATACCTGTAAAAAAGTTTTGTTAGTAGGTAGGTACGTATTTTACTACGAAGTTTTGCAAATGAGAATGAGAATTTATCAACTACATTACGTGGATTCTGAAAGAGCGTCCCAAGCGCCCTCCTTGAGTAAAAAATATCACAGGCAGACTGACATAGACACATATATAGGTTGATATACGCGAAGAAAAATCGAGGATTAAAATAAACTACATCAGCGCATTTTTGTTTTATGAATAAATGTTTATTAGAAATCCACACACTAAACACTACTGAAAGTAGATAAGGTTAGTGCTCGATCTATAATCCATATGATGCTCATATAAATTGTAAAAGGCAAGTTAATTGCCGGCACGTAGATAAACAGAGAGCATTACTAAATGCGAAAAATTGCAGTTGATTCTTATAAGCGTGGGAACATTATTTCAACGAGATTGGTTACCTAATATTTAACGACTATGATTGATAACACTTAGTAGAAATCTACACTTATGGTGGTGAGTGATAATGTAAGTGCCTGCGGGATCCCTACACAACATTTATGCCTGATAGCCCAATAGGTGAAGGGATGAAAAGTTATGAATCAATCTATCACTTAATACAAAAAGTGCGCATTATAACGACATCACTTTATCAGCGGAAGTCGCCAAAAAAGAAAGAATTTATTCGATCGGTAATGTTACATTAGTATTTATATAATTTGTTACGTTTTAAATTAACATACCTATACTGAAACA